GATCAGTATAATGCGAAAATCACTAAGAAAGATGGGGAGATTTTCCAATTTTTATTAAGCGCCACAAACTGGACGCAAAGCCACAGTACAATGATATGAGCAATAGCATTGTTCAAGGTTAAGTAACTTGAATCTGAAAGAGACATTCTCCTTGAGATCAAATATTCACCTACTTTCTTATCATAAGGAAGTTGGTGCACTTTTCTTTCATATTGCATACAGACCTATATACTTGAATCATATTATGTTCCCTGGGAAAGCTAATACAAGAAACTTCTAAGGAAATTCGAATAGCAGAAACGATAAAACCAAGTCGATATGCCTTCGTAAAGAATGTCTTCTCACTTGGGATATTATCAGCAGAATGAATGCAGGTAGAAAAGGCGAAATGTTTGTTATGTGCAAATAGATAGGACAATAATGGGACAAGATTGTCCTTGCTGTATTTGTTATTCGCAGGTAGGCCCGGGAACTGCCCTAAATATGCCAGGATAATGAGGTAGTCGGCCTATTAAAATTCCTACACAGAATATTGTTGCGGCCAGGCAGCAGGTACTCTTGTTGTTGAATGCCCGGGAGGGGGGGGTGAGACGGTGCTCCACACCACCCCGCGGCTAACAGCGCTTCTCTAAGGACTAAAGAAAGTCACCTGACCGTAAAGCTGTGCGCCTAACGAGTTGAAGTAAAGGTAAAGTCGAGAGATGCCCACCTCTGGGTTGTAACGTCCTGACATTCGGATGGGGCCCCAAGTTTCGGTGGTATTTTCCGGCTCGAAACACGCAAGAAACAATGTTTGCTTCCTGCTTCATGCTGGTTTCTTCCTTGGCTTACTGTTCGACCCTGGAGATGGAGGTGACATGTTCCTCCGAAACGTCGGTCTGCTTTCAGAGAACCACACGTCATTGTATGACAGAAGATATAACTCTTCATATCTACCGCCACGAGGTAAATTTGCCCCTGTGCTTAGTCAGTTAACCATTATGCCATGTAGATGCATGGCGGAAAGGAGGTATAGCTCCATTCTTGACCTCGGTACTAAATGGAGGTGAGTGGTCAGCTTCACGCCCTGGCCAGTTAACCCCCGGGGTTATGGCCATGATACGCATTGGATAGGAGGCTGGGTGGGCCCCAGAACCGGCCCAGATGACGTGGCGAAAAGAAAATTCTTGTCCCTGCCAGGAATCGAATTCCGGCAGTCCATCAGGTAGCCTACCGCTATACCGACATATATAATTAATTTAAATTTATAATTATCTGATTACTGGGATTGGAAAGGAATTGAAGGCTGAAAGTGCCACGGCTGTTGGCCGAAGAAGGTTTCATTAACTCCAGGTCCCCAAGGATGTACCTGCCTGGTACAGACAGTCGAGTTTCGTTGTCTGCAGCAGACGTGCCTTGTCACAGATTCCATACCTGAGCACCTGTAGGCGGTGGTCTTGTGGGCTGCAACACTGTGTAGTCACAGGAGCATGCAGCCCACCCTGAAGATGGAAATAACAGCTTCTCTAAATGCCAGTAACCACGTTCAGCAAGGCACAATAGATCACTGTGGTCGCGGTGCAAGGGCGAGAGGGCCCGCCCCTTATACATTTAACCACGTTCAGCACTTCAGTGTTATGACCCTGAAGATGGGGGCAGCAGGTTTCTGCGAAACGTTGGACTGCATGGGGTCAAAACCATGAAATTGGAGAGAGGAACTTTATGAACCAGTTACAGAGTTCCATGACTCCATAACCCTGAAGATGGAGTCATCAGTGTTCTCCGACACGTTGATAAGCACCTATAAGACTACAGCCTGAAGAGAGAGGCAGAAAGTTCCCCCGAAACGTTTGTAACCAACTACAAGACTTCACGGTATTGTAACTCTGAAGACGGGGGCATCAGTTTTCTCCAGTGTTGGTAAGCATCTACAGGACTGCACGACGGCATGGATTCCAATTTTTCCCCATTGATTTTTCATGGTGTCATAGCTCAGAAGATGAAAGCAGTTGGTAGCTACTCACCAGACTGCACGGCGTCATAACGTAGAGGACCACACCACAGTGAAAAACGTCGACTGTCCTGTGTGCACGTGGTGATGTGTGGAGCAGACTTCATTCATGAGCTGCCATGCTCGGTCGCCACGGTCGCCACCACCAAGGCAACTCGCTCATTCATAAAATGTGTGCAGCTTGGTCCGGATGGGCGCGGCTCCCTGACTACCAGAGGATTTCAAGAAAACTGTTTACTGGGAAGAAGAGGATTATACGACTGTTTACAAAAACATAACTTGTCCTTCTTACTATTTTCAAGGACAAGAATATGGCCCTCGAAACAAAACAAACAGGAACTTGTATGGAAGTCTTTGTCTCATAGTTGTGACAAACGAATAGGAACCCGTCAGCTTGATTGCACATAGCCCTGTTCTGCTCTAGCAAAATTCTGCCGCGTCTTCATTTGTCGAGGAGAATTTGCCGTATTTGCATTTTTGTAGCAAGAATTTACCGTGACTGCATTCATGCAAGGGGGAGGGGGGATACATTTCTTCCGTCTTGCATGTGCTCTTCGATTTGCGTAGTAATATTCTGCAACAATTTCTTATTTATCTCATTCGTCCTACACGTTCAGCCCATCGTAGCTTCCTACGTTTCGTGTTCATGTTCATGAATGTTAGGATGATTAAAGGTAAAGCTGTCCCTGTCTCAAGTAATCATGCACCACGCCACAAAATCACATGGGGGAGTGGAGGTATAGCTCCCCCATTCTTGTCCTCGACACTGATGGAGGTGAGTGGTCAGCTTCATGCCCTGGCTACTTTATCCCCGAGAAAAGAGCCCCCGATGCCCATTGTGTATGAGGCTGGATGGATCTCAAAACCGGTCTGGACGCTGTGTAGAAGAGAGAAATCTCCTTCCCCTGCCAGGAATCGAACCCCGGATCTTCGGTAGGCTAGCCTATAGCTTGATCGCTCTCATGACCCAGCTGTCTCGGCTCAGGTGGTAAATGCCTAATCTAGAAACCCAATGGAAGAGGCCACTTTGGTGACCTAGGAGTAGAGGGGAGGATAGTATTAATTTATCTTGAACTGGTGTGAAGTTATGGACTGGATTTTACTAATACATGAATGGGTCGAGGGAAAGAAGCTCTTTGGGTTACCATAAAGAACGGGGAATTTATATATCAGCTGAAAAATTACCGCCTAGTCAAGAAGGGCTGTATTCCATGAAGTGCGTGAGTTAGTTATGGTAATCCATTTCTGTGCTAAACTTTTCAAATTAATTTAATCTTAGTTCATATCTGACCACTATAATCCTGTGACGCTGTGAGCGTCGAGAATATGCACCGTCGATGAAGAGATGATTACTGAATGTGGAGCAGTTGGTGGAAAGATAATTGACAGGGAGAACCGAAGTACTCGGAGAGAAACCCGCTGCACTGCCTCTTAGTGCACCATAAATCCCACACTACTTCACCTGGAACAGAATCCGGGCAGCTACTGTGGGACGCCGGCGACTAACCGCCTGAGCTATGACTCTTTTATCAAACCAGAAATGACACGTCATGCAAGAAACTAGTATGTGGCATGAAGAGTGGGGTTGATTGTTATTAAGTTCTTTGGCTTTAGTTCCATAGATGTCGTTCGATATGGTGAACAGTTAACGAAACGAAAGGACGATTAATTTGTGACTGCGCGCAACGTAATATTTCTCATACTTATTTGCTTCCACTTCGAGTGGAATATCTTTTTGTGAAATTTGGTATTTCGCTAAAGGAAGAAAATAGATTGAAAGCGCGTGAAATCAAAGTGCTGCGGGAAATATTTGTGTTTACGAAAGAGAGAGAAACATGAGGATTGAGAAAATTGTTGTTTATAGGTCAGTATGTCTTGACATTTTGTATTCAATTTTGTTTCTACTCAGCTAGCATTATTTCACGAAATGTGATATCAATGAGATCTTGTTCATCCCAGTTCTGTCAGCTTATCGGTCCGTGATGCTATATCTTCATTAAATATTTATTGCTTTGGAATTTTTAATACTGCTTCTTTGTATATGGTACTTTCCGTTTTGAGAATAGCCATTTTTAATCTTAATATTTTGTCGCTCTTGCACTTACTTATTCTACATAAATGTTGTTATTGATTTGTTGAAACTTTTTATGAAATTTAATGTGTCAGAAGAAGAGAAATATTCTAATGAAAAACATATAAAGCTACAATGAAGGGTATGTACATAGTTTATGCGCGCCCACGCACTCTCTCTCTCTCTCAAAACTTTACATTGCATTATTTTGGGGGGCTGGGAGGTAGTAGACTATTTTTCAGAGTACTGACACCTGGAGAGAAATCGAGAAGTAGTAGATTGATAAAATAATTCAAAGCATGTGACGTTGTGGTTATAGTTATATACTTTAAATGTTTTTGATTGTCTGAGGTGGCAAATATTTATTTTCACATTATTCTTAAATCCGGGAATTGTTTAGAGCAGAAACTGCTGTTGCGTAACGAGATATCTCGATTGTGACATACAACGAATTAAAATAAATTAAATTTATGTTGATAAAGACAAAATTATGGATATTAGGAGATCAGAAATTTGGCAAATAATGTCCGACTAACGTCATTTCAAGCAAACTATTGTGCGTTTAACCTTGGCTTACTCCGACTTTAGGCACGCATATCTCCGTGTGGGCAAGAGCAGGCTGAATCCTTGGGTATAGGCAACACAAAATGCTGTGATAAGTTAGTTTATAGAGGTTGCCGTGAGATAGCTGTAGCGGACTGCTAAAAGTACCTAGTATCGATAATGTTCCAAAGAACGCATGTGCTGAAGATGCACCAATACAAGTAGAAGAATAGAAATGGTCTATACACTGAAGGACGAATTATGGAATACCGTATAAAGCGCTGTATGAACTTCAAAAGCAAAAACTAGTCACAACATTATCTTTCCGCATTTTCATATTTCACACTAATGAATTTATGTCATATCAGAAATACTGCGTTTTTTTCTTTGATACAGAATCGAGGAACTATGGAATGCGAACAACGGGAACAACTGTGGAAAAGATGGCAAACGCGCAATAGAAGAAGAAGAAGAAGAAGAGAAAGAAAAGGCTGTGTAAGGTGCTGTTTGAGTAGTCGTGTTGTAGATAATTTTTCGTTTCGAAGGAAGATACCAATATTATATAGTAATACAAAATGTCCGAGAGAAAGGTTCTGAATGTGAGTATGTTTTATACGTAGCGTTACTTACTTCATTATGTCATGCTTTTCTAGACAATATAACCCTAATTATAATTAAACTTACATTTCAGAAATACTACCCACCAGATTTCGATCCATCAAAAATACCTCGTATGAAATTGCCGAGGAATAGGCAATATACTGTCCGACTGATGGCCCCCTTTAATATGAGGTAAGTTCAAATTAAAGTATTATTGTTTGTAGTAGTGATAAGTATGTTTTCAATCAAGCTGGAATGATAATGTTCATGTTCAAGTTTTATTCCATGAGAACAGTAACGAAATAATTTGCCCAGCTGTAAAGATACAAAAAGTCTAACAGGAAATCTAGGTCTCAGAGTAATGTTTGGTGGGTATTGCTGATTCGTTCATTTTTAATAAATTTGAGACAATTCTGATGACACTGTGTTCATAGCTTTATTTTTGGTGTGGTTGGTGTGCCATTTCCATATGAAGTTTTGTTTTCCCTTGTAGATGCATTACATGTGGTGAATATATTTATAAAGGGAAGAAATTCAATGCACGAAAGGAGGACGTGGAAGGTGAAGATTATCTCGGCATTCGGATCTATAGATTTTACATTAAGGTAAACTCTGCTGTCTGTCTGCAATTTCTGCTTCTCATTTCAATGGCCTGACATTTAACAAAGTTAAATCAATCCTTTAGAAGTTGTTTGTTGTGATTGTGTCGTAGTAGGCTCAGTTGATTGATTTGTAGGTAATTTAATAACACTTCTTCGGCTGTATAGGTTACATAGCATTAAAAGGGATGAGAAGATGGTTATGATCAGTGTGTAAGTAAAGATGAGGAAGGAGGTGATCATAGAATATCTGAATGTGCTGTGGCAATATTTGCTGAAGTACACCGTGAACATCTTCAGGGTTATTTTTGTATATAGTCTTATAAGTGGGTTTCAGAGGAACATAAGCATTCATTTTCAGATTTGAAGTCACTTTATACCTGAAGATAGTGGCAGTATGTTCCTACAAGACTTTCAGACCCATGTACAAAATGACATGGTGCAATAGCCCAGAAGATTACAATATGTATCTTTACTGCCACGAAAACCTGAAATCCTGTAAATGAAAGGCCTAATTCATGATTGGGGTTAATATGATGAAGCCTCGAACTGTTTTGAACACAAGTAGAGTGTCCCAGGTACAGACACCTGTTCAGTGTTGTAGTAACAGAGGTCTGAGAGAGACTGAGATCATTTCTGTATGTCCGCAAGTTCTCTTCTAATGATATTTTATTGTGTAGTGATGCACACAGATACAGATTTTTTAATCTTCTGCATTTGGAGGAACATTTGAGATTTGTATTTTTAACAGGGTATGTATGTCAGCCACCACAATTAAGTACTTGAAACTCCCGTTTCATGCTTTAGTACTATTATTGTAGGCCCCATTGTCAACAAACCTGAAGACGGAATTTTGTGATTTCCATTACATCTTCCAGACAAATGCTTGTGTGTAAGTAAAAGTAAGTAAAGTATAGGTATCCCTGTAACAGCCTTTGGAGGCCCATAGGTTTGTGAGATGTTGAGGTTCCCACATTAGCTAGACAGTCGGCTTATAGATGGCGGTAAGGTTGTCAACCTTACGCGCTGGCTGCTTTTACCCCAAAGAATATTCCTAGTACTCATTTCTGTTAGAGTTGTTAAATAAAGTAAGATACAGTGTCAGTAGCCAAGAAGACTAAATTTTCTTCATTAATATTTAGTGCACAAGATGCCTTCAAGAGATCTCGTTCAAAACTGACCCTAGGAACACCGATTACGAAATTGAAGCGGGTGCCACTCGTAATTTTATGGCTTTGAAGCTGGCAGAAGAACAGGCACAAAGAGAGGAGGATGAGAGGAAGGAGGACGAGGCTACGAACCCAATGAAGGTGAGTGAATGTGTTTCAACATGAAGTAACTGGTTCAGTTTCCGAATTCTCTCTCTGCAGAATGTTGTAACTTTACCATACATGCTACATGGCAGGTCCAGACTTAGTGCAGAGGAAGGAATCATTACACCTCATGTGTATTACTTTAGGTTGAGGTTGAGGATCTCACAGAGGTGAATATTGAGGTTATGGTCTTGTGGGACTAGATGGGTGCCAATACTCTTCTGTGCAGAAGATGGAAGCAGTAGGTTGTGCTGAATTGTTATCACTTATGTACCGGACTTTGCGATGTCACGTTGCAGAAGACTGGACTATTTTGGTTATGTGTGATTATAGGTGTCTGGAATGGGGTCCACTCAGCCTTGTGGGGATAATTGAGGAGCCATTTCAAGGAAGTAGCTACTCCGATCTAGAAAACCGAAATTAATGGCCATGGGGATTTGTTGCTCTGACCACATGGCACCCTCTATCTGCTAAAGTTGGTGCTGACTTCGTCGATAAGCGGCGGTTGCTCAGTTGGTATAGTTCGCTTGCAGACTCAAGCCACAGAGTTTTTTTTTATTTATTATAGGTTATCACACCATAAACTGAAGGATTTAGTCTTCACGTCACTTCTTTTCCCTTGTCCCCTTGTGCCGATAACACTGCAGTTAGAAGCAGCACACAGGAGAGGGGGGGATATGGAACAACCATGGGACGAGAAAGAGAAGGGAAGTCAAACATGTTATTTGATTTTGTTGTTTGTTGCAGTTGTTGGAAAATCGCACAAAGCAGTCAAAACAAGAATTGGAACTTCTGGAGTCTTTGGAGGAACTCCGAGATTTGAACAGAAGACAGAGATCAGTGGACTATGACACGATGTTGTCTCAGTTTGATACCAAAGACGTTCAGAAGAAATTAGAGGCAAAACAAGAAGAGGAAGATGAAAAATACATCAGGTAAATGGAAACTCCTTTCAGGATGTAGCCTGTTTGCTTACTTTGAAATTCTTGTATAAGTGGAAAAATCAAGTTAATTATCCTCATTTTTGTGTTGTTTATTAAAGTAAACTTGGGTTTAAAAAATTTTAGTATCGAAACATGCATAAAATGTTTGTAAATAGGATTTGAATTTAGCATAAACTTCAAATTTAATAAATGTATTCAATTTCTTAATATTGTATTCAAGCATCCGGTTGCATTACTGTGACTTTTACACACAATAATACAGTTCCATCAACAATGCAACTATTTTTATTCTTTCACTTTCCCTTTTACAACATGTTTTGGCCCCAACCAGCCATCATCAGGTGTCTTAATTTGCCAAAACTGTTATACTATATTATGTCACTTATTTCTTGTCCAGCTCTGTACATGAACTAGATAACTGCCCAACACTCTTGTGGTAGAACCTGAAGGTTCATTTCTGCCTACTACCAACGTCTGCTCTTGAATCAGCCATCCTCATAACCTGCCCTTCTATGGCCCATTTCAGTTGATCGATGGTTTAACTGTTAGGGCAAGGGCACATCAAGGAAAGTGGCAACCTCAACGCAACCACAATTTCCAAGAATTGTTATTAGCCTGTATTGAACCATGTTACTGAATGTAGCAGTGCAAATTGAGGAAACTGGAAACTGCGGTTGCATTGTGGTTGCCAATTTCCTTGGTGTGCCCTCGCCCTAATGATTAAATGTATTATGTAACTATTAGTTCATAAAAGTAATACAGTTTATAGTAGTTAGGTGTGGAACCAGATGATTGTGTTGGTTACACTGCCACAACGTGTCTGTGATGATGATGATGTGTATCACATGATGTTGAAGTTGTCATTAATGTAGGATGTTACACATTCAAATAGTCCCTTTTTCTGATCAAGTTAAAGTAGCTGTAGTGCTGTGGGCTTGTCTTCCAGCAGTACTCTGTGTGAAAGTTGGTTGGCATACTCACAGTTTTGACCAAAATTTTGTTTTTTTTTCTCATTGTCCCCATGCTGTCAGACCGCAGTTGGCAGTTTCATTCACAAGATTCACTTTGGTTTTATTTTTGAATTTAATTATCAGTGTTTCAGGTTTCTCCCTGTCAGTATTCTGTGTGTATTCCTTGTTCCTCTTTCCTGTGCCATATGCCAATTTCAGAGCAAGCCCCTCAATTTGACTACTATAATTGTTCATTCACGTACATAATACAACATACATTTTTCAAGGTCAATTTTTGGTGTGGGAGGTTCTAAGAAGAAGGTCATATCAGAAGAAATAATAGAAACAGTTGAAGAAATGCATGCAGCTAGTGCACCTGATCCCCCAAAGAAAATTGCAAGGATATCTTGTGACCCCAGTGCAAAATCTGGTACCCAGGTATGTGTATGTATTGTTTTATTTTATGGCGCTTTGGACCTAAGAGAGGGACATCAAGGGGAGGCTGGAGAAAATTGTGTAATGAGCGAGTCTCATGATTGTTTTGTCTTGTTACTTGCTGTCTTTAGAATGACAGAATAAGGAGAACGAAGTGGACAAGGTATTGAACACTCACTAACTAACTATATGGAGCTGAGCCATACTTGAGAAGATGCCAGTTGTGCAGCTATTCAAGAACTTCCCAGCATTTTATGGAACTCAAGGTTCATTACCATGTTCACAAGAACCCTCCATTGGCCCCCGTCCTGACCAGATCAATCCAGTCCATACCACCGCTATACCGTACTCTGGCGCCACACAGATGCATAACTGGTGTGTAATAGACCTCCCAAATGTTTGCTTAGTAGTCAGTAACATGACCTCGCTGTTTTCCTAACCCACTCCAAAGGAAAATGCCTTTGTTTGTCTTCAAGCTGTATGTACCAGGCAGTAAGTCAGTAGTGCAATATGGATCAAGGATGAAAGCAGTTGAAGACCAAGCGATCTCTCGGAGAACAAGAAATGTCTGACTGGTTCTCTGATGAGCTATCTGATGTGCCTTGTGAGATGTGTAATGATAGTGACTTAGACAGTGGCAGTGACGGGACAACAAAGAATTGTGGCCACAGACAGTGAAAGTGACAGTAGCACCAACGAAAATGCGGGTAGTAACATTGCTGGGACAGCCACATGGGGGCAAGTAGACAAAACGCCTACTTTGGGACAGTTTACTGGAAAGCTGGGGGGCGAAACAAATTCCATTGGACCCAACGCAAGTGTCTGAAGTAGCAGAACTGTTTTTTGGAGATAGTTTCTTTGACATGTTATGTCAGCAAACTAACAGATACAATCTCCAACACCGTGAAGAATATGACAGAAGTTTTAAGGTGTTGAAGTGGGTGGATGTCACTTCAGCAGAAATGAAATTTTTTTTTCAATAATCAGTCTAATGGGGCATACAAGGAGGGATAATTGAAAAGAGTATTGGTCAACAGTTCCATTTTTAGAAATTCTGATTTTCGGCAAACTAATGAGCCGTAAGAGATTTGAACAAATTTGGTGGTGTTTGCATTTCAGTAATAATGAACTGCAACCACAGTCAACAAGCAGGCTTTTCAAAATTCAGCCCTTATTAAACTTTTCATTCAGAAATTTCAGACAGTTTGTAAGCCAAACCAACAACTGTCTTTGGAAGAATCTGTGATTCCTTGGAGGGGAAGGCTTCATATGCAAACATACGATTCTGGGAAACTTACAAAGTATGGCCTACTTGTTTGTGTAGTTACTGAAAGCACTTCAGGTTATATTAGAAATTTAGAAATTTATTCTGGTGAAGGCAAAAAATTACAAGAAACTATTGTTTATGTTTTGGAACCCTGTCCTGATCAAAATTACCATGTCTTATCAAGACAATTATCATAAGAGTGTGGTAACTGCAGAATACCTTCTTTCGAGAAAAGTACGTGTTTGTGGAACAATTAGGGTGAGCAGAGGCCTTCCTCCAGATCTGAAAGAGGAATCTAAATCCCTGAAATGTGGTGAAACCACATTCAGGAAGAAGGGGGATATTCTTCTTCAGTCCTGGAGGGATACTCGTGATGTGAATATGATTGCCACAATTTACAATTCAAGCGTGGTTGATGTTCAAAGGAGACATGGACAAGTAAGGAAGCCTATTTGTATTTCTGAGTATAATATGTTCATGAAGGGAGTTGATAGAGCCGATCAGTACTTGGCCTATTATTCTCTTCCTAGATAAACAATAAATTGGACAAAGAAAGTTGCCTTGTGGCTTATAAACTGTGTCATTTTCAATTCATTTTTGGTTTACAAAAATCTAAACCCTGATTCAAAATTGAAAGACAAAGCATTTCTGATGAATGTGGCAAAGGCCTGGGCTGCTGACCAGATGGCTGCAGCAGAACCTGAGTCAGACACAGACTTAGTGTGACCGGGCCCATCAACTCCCACCCCATGCAGGCCTCATGTGGACTCCCCTGGGTGTCTCTAGGGTGATATGCAGAAACATACCCTCATGAAAATTGTGAAGAGAGAACATTCCAAGGGGAAGCATCTTTCTAGGCAATGCCATGTTTGCACTGTTCATAAAAAAAAGGAGTATGACTGTCTACATTTGCAAGTTCTGTGTAATGCCACTTCACAAAGCTGAATGTTTCCAGAAATATCACACTCTCAAGCACTTCTAGGAGCACTGGTAAGTGTTCTCCAAAAATTTTAGTTCATAAAATTTATTAGGAGATTTTATAGTAATTTTTAAAGTGAACAGTGCACAAGTTAGGGTAGTAGGTTTAAAAATGCCAGTCCCCAGGGTAATTTAAATATTTAAATTGCCGGTCCGCAAAGTGTTAATAATTATCCACCCACCTGTGTCTTAGTCTTGATGGTGGTCTCTTTCTTTTTGGCTTTCCGACCACTATCCTATATGCATGGGGGAATGCAGTAGTGTAGTTGGTTGAGGCACTTTGCTACAAGCTGGAAGGTTGCAGGTTCAGTTCCCGATGAGGTCTTTGCATTTTTCTGTTGATATAATCCTTCCAGTCGCACTATAGGCCTGAGGTCTACTCAGTCTCTAACAGAAGTGAGTACCAGGAATCTTCCTGGGAGTAAATGGTGGCTGGCACGTAAAGCTGACAACCTTACCACCATCTTTTAGCAGATTGTCTAAAAAAAGTGGGAGCCTTGACGTCTCACAACCCTATGGGCCTCCACGGCCTGGTACAGCTATAGCTTTACCTCTTACCTTTATCCTATATTTCACTCCCACTTGTGCTACATGCCCTGTCCATCTCATCCTCATCGACTTGTTAATTTTAATTATGCTGCACTTGGCAAAGAGTACAAGTTATGAAGCTCTTCATTATGCATTTTTCTCCAATCTTCTGTTACTTCATCACCCTTTGGTCCACATTTTCTCCTCAGCACCCAATTCGTAATCACTGGCAGCCTATGTTTTTTCCTTAATGTCAGACACCACGTTTCACACCCATACAGAACTGCAGGCAAAATTTTACTTTTGTGTGTTTTAATTGTTACATTTTAGGACGACGAGAATTCAAGCGGTTCTGGACTGAATTACTTGAATTCTATCTCCTCTTAATTTCCTCCTTAATCAAATTTTGATTTGTTACTGTCATTCCTAAATAGTTGACCTGTGCTACATTTTCAAAACATGTGTTTCCTATCATTATGTCATGATTTTGCCCTGCATTTTGGTGATGAGACAGCAACATATACTTAGTTTTCTCTGCATTTACTTCTAGACCAACCTGCTTACTTGCATCAGTTAAAGTTAGAGTGTTTCTCTTTATGGTATCTTTGTTATGATCCAGTAGATTCACATCGTCAATGTAGACCAGCTGATGGGTCCCATTTAATTTCAGTCCCACCTGGTTTTCCTGAACCTTCCTAATGGCATATTCTAAGGCAAAGTGGAAAAGCAATGGTAATAAAGCATCTCCTTGTTTATGACTATTCTGGATAGGAAAATTATCAGACAAATATTTACCCATATGGACTTTACTATATGTTTCCTTTAAATGCATTTTAATCAGTGTAACTAGTTTCATGGGTACCCCCAAACTCTGTGAGAATACTGTACAATATTTCCTTCCAAACTGATCATAGGCTTCCTTGAAGTCTGTGAATAGCTGATGTAATGTCTCATTGTACTCCCATTTTTTCTCCAGTATCTGACGAATGCAAAAGTTCTGATCAGTAGTTGATCTGTTACTTCAAAACCCACACTGATGATCCCCAGTAGTTTCATCTACTACTCTGCCCAAAAAGTATCCGACCTTGGGCCAGGGAAAAAAAGTTCTGTATCTGGGTGGTTACAATACCTAATTGCCTTCAAAGTAGGCCCCTTGTGACTCCACACACTTAGCCCAGCGGTCCTTCCATCGCTGGAAGCAATTCTGGAAGGCTTCTTTTGGAATGGCATGCAGCTGCACTGTCGCGTTCTGTATGATGTCCTCGCGGCTGTCAAAACGGCAGCCTTTTAGTGGTGTCTTCAATCTTGGGAACAGCCAGAAATCACAAGGAGCCATGTCAGGAGAGTAGGGAGCCTGGTGAACCTGCGGAATGGCGTGCTTGGCCAGGAAACCCTGGATCAGGTGCGACGAATGAGCTGGGGTGTTGTCATGATGCAGCTGCCAGTTGCGTGCGTCCCACAGCTTCGGTCTCTTGCGCCGAACTGCATCATGAAGATGGCGGAGGACTTCTTGGTAGTACTCCTTATTGACAGTCTGGCCTAGTGGTGTGTACTCATGATGCACAACACCCCGGAAATCGAAAAAACAGTCAGTATCACCTTCACATTGCTCTGAACCTGTCGTGCTCTTTTGGGCCTCGGGGATGTTGGATGCTTTTATTGTGACGCTTGGACCTTGGTTTCCAGGTCATATCCATACACCCATGACTCGTCACCAGTGATCACAGTCTTCAGGAACTCAGGATCCCTGTTGGCGCACTCCAGCATGTCCTGTGCGACCTCAAGGCAGAGTTGTTGCTGCTCCAGTGAAAGCTGCTTGGGCACAAATTTTGCCGCCGCTCTTCCCATTTCCAAATCCTCAGTTAAAATTGTGTTTGCGGAACCTCTGCTGATCCCAACCTCATCAGCAACTTAGATGAATGGCCAAACGATGGTCCTCCATGATCACTGTCCGCACTTTTTCAATGACGCTCGTTGACCATCTCCCGGAACACTGCTCACTGTCCGCCGACATACAGCCATGTTTAAAGTGGTTGAATCACTCTTTAATTTGAGTGACCCCCATTGCATCATTGCTGAAAGACTGCTGAATTTTGCGAATTGTTTCCGCTTGGGTATCCCCAAGTTTCTGACAAAATTTAATGCAGTATCACTGCTCCAAGCGTTCTGTCATCTTGAGCGAAACGAGAATGCGACGAACACGTGTTACACCACTTCGCTATCTGGCAGCCACAGACACATCCAGCAGTGTTGCAAGTCAGCAAAAAATCACACATGCGAATGAAAGTCCCTTCTACCACTGCGCTCAGTTTCCCAACCCTTTGGCCATTACTTACAGCGGAAAAAAATAAAGTCGGATACTTTTTGGACACACGGTATATATGGGCTTAAACTTGAGAAAAGAATATCGGATAAAATTTTATATGAAGTTGATAGAAGTGATATCCCATGATATGTGTAATACAGTCAGTTTTATCACCCTTCTTGTGAATTGGTTCAATAATAGATTCCTTCCACTGATCAGGTAATTCTTCCTTATTCCAAATAGAGTTAATTACCCACAGATAACATTTATCTTCTCTGTATGCTGTAGTTGAAATATGTATTGATACAATCTTCAAAACCATATAGAAACCTGAAAAGAAAAATTCTTTTCATGAAATTTTGTACATTTAAATGGGAGAAGAATCCAACCTAGATGCTCCAGGACCTAAAGTCACGTATGCTTGGAGAAAATTTGAAAAGAACATGGAGTGGAACCGAGCACTGTTCATTTTGTTTTCCTTTGAAGGACGGTTCCGTGATTTTTCAGTTACTGTAATTACAATATCTCAAGCTCATTACAAAGAAGGGGCATGCAGACATGTCAGATTACTGTGCATAGTATCACTGTAAGTTTAATTTTTGAGTTATCATTTGAATTGTTTAATGACTTATCAGTTTCAGCTGAGTCAAATTTATACCCATTAAATTATCAGTGATGTTTTCATAAATTGGTTACTAAATGTGTTATTTACCATTTGATAGAGTGAAGATATGTCTTTTCAGGAATGTACATTGTCAAAATCGTTAGATGTGTCACAAAGCAGGAGTGTAGGAATAGTAAGCAAGAAAGGAGGACTTACGGGGTTAGTTCGCCTGAAGTCATCAAGTGATCAAGCAATAAAACCCACATTGGCACCTGCCCAAAATGTCTCCAGTGCTGATGAACCAAAACCAACTCCCAGTGGACTGTCATTACTGGGTTCTTATTCAGGTAGTGACAGTGAGTGATGTATGGATTAAGAGATGGACTCTGTTGTAGATTTTTATAAGGTTCAGGGCACAGTTGAGAATAGTTTTATTGATTGCATCTGTGATCCAATAAAAAGGCAGCAGTCTTACATGTGTTCAGCTTGTTGCCTGCTCCCTCTGGCATCTTGGCTTACTTTTTGACCCTCAGGAGGGAGGTGATATGTTACTCAGAAATGGTGGGGGTCTCCAGACTAAATGGCATTGCAACGCAGAAGACTGTACTCTTTATTTCAACTCCTGGGTTTACAAGAAAGGTAAATGTGATATGCCCATATAGCCAGGTTGGATTGTATGAGGATTAAAATTGGTTCTTGGACCGTGACATGAAGGAACAGCCGTAAAAATGCAACTTGTACAGAAATCAAATCAGAAAGAAGTCTGTAAAGGAAATATAATTTAAAGAAATGTAACTTTTTATAATTTTAATTAAAAAATTATCAACAACAAAATTTAAGCTGCACACTGTCAGCTTTATTTACATGAAGACACCACATACAGGTGTCTGGATGAAAGGTATCCAAAATAAAATAATTATATCTTAGAAAGCATATATTGTACATATTTATGGGTTACACCATTACAAAGGGAAACTCAAAGTCTTTTCTGAATATAAAACTTTCTCAGTAAATTTCAGTGTGGACTCTCTTGGTGACATGACAAATATCCAGATGATATTCGACATCATTCCATGTTGCTTGAAGCATGTTTCGTGTTATCATAGCCACAGAGTCCCTTATGCAGGCTTTCAGGTGTTGAAGGTCGTTGATCTTAACCTGGTAGACAATGTTCTTCACATAACCCCACAAGAAAAAATCAAGTGGGGTTAAATCTGGTGACCTAGGAGGCCAAGTGATTGGTTCACCTCTGCTGATTCATCTCCCAGCCATCTCTCTGTCCAGGTGATTTCTAGTATGGTTGCAGAAATTTGGTGGTGCCCCATAGTTTGAGGTGGTAATTGGGGCAGTACATACAGCTCCAGCATGTCCAAATATGAATGTACGGTCACAGTCTTTTCCGAAAAGAGTGATGGTCCAATCAACTTGTCGTGCATTAAGCCGGCCCGTACATTCACTTTGAGGCTTATTTGAAGCACTGTATTGGCATTTTCCTGGAGGGACTGAGGAAAACATGCAGAACTTCAGACTGCTTTCCTTAATTCATGTTAAATGGCAGGCAGAAGATGTTATTCTTTATTAAGTACTGACCAGAACTGTTTAAGTTTCATTATTTACAGAACAGAATTTAGTGATTCTTCTGGGGACCTTGACTTCTTGCAGTTACACTGTAATGGTAATTTAAAATTGCATGTACATGTATGCAGAAAAGAGTATTGTGCTGAACTGACATTGAGTGCACTGTCTTCTTCAAGTGATGCTATTCTGTTACACCTCATAGGTTTAGTATGATTTAGAATAATGATATATGTTGTTTTGAACAGATTGTGATTAGTGGCTGTCTTCTGTATGCTTACATAATTACTGCCCCAATTTGGTTATAATTAAGTGTATACAGATTTTGATCACAATACAATAATGTAGCTTCGGAACTAATTTATATTGCTAAAAAGATACTGCTCTGACTGAGGAAACATAAAAATAATTCTATGATGACAGTGATGTCCATATCAACAGTACAGAACTGAAAGCATTTTCATCTTTAGCATGGTGAAACGTTTCATATTTTATTCCAAATTTTGTAGTTGGGAATCTAAGTAAAAGGTAAGAAGTGAAGCGAGTTTTGTGAAGGCATTTGTGATTACTGAGAGATTACTGAATATTATGAAATAGAAGGTGAACTGGTTAAAAATGTTGAAAGACATGCTGTGTTCTGTTTCTTGCAGAAGACTGGCTCGCCATGGTGTATGGCTGCCAATGGGGGATGGGTCATAAGCAATGAGCCTTTTTCACAGAACAGTAGAAAGAGCAAACAAGCCAACAAATTACATCTGGTCATAACATTTTCATCTTTTACAAACATACTGTTGTACAGAGAATGTAATTTCATTTCAGTAGGTGATAATTAAATACTGAATCAAACAATTTAATGCTTGATATTGATAAGCCTATTGGGTGAAAATACGTGTTTAGCTTCCATCTTCTGGAAGGATAGTGATTTACACAAGGATTGGCCAAAAATTATACACCAGAGGTGTTACACATGCACTGAATGTATGTTTTCCCAAAATGTATGTTAAGTGCAAGGTATGCAAAGGATTTGATGATAGGTTTAAATAGAACACCTAGAAAGGCACATAGTAGAAGCCTGAAAACTTCATATTCACCACTGCAAGAATCTCAAATCTCAGGCACTGTGTAAACCAGGCTATTCTATTTGCTTTTAAGGGCTTGTTTTAAGTATTGCACTTCAATTTTGGGAAAGGAGTCAGATTAGCTCACTTGGCATAGCAGTGGAATACAGGCTGGAAGACCGAGGAATTTTGGTTCGATTCCAGGTCAGAGAACAGATTTTTCTCTTTACACAACGTTCAGGCCAGTGTTGGTGTCCACTCAGACTCCTATCTACTGGGTCCTGGGATTACAACAGTAGGGGCATGAAGCTGATTGGTTATTTCCATTTAGTGCTGCTGTCAAGAATGGTGGAGCTATACCTCCACTCCCAAATATGTTTTCAGGGCATAGTGCTTAATTAAGAATGGTGGAATTACATCACTACCCCATAAGTGTTAATGGCATCAAGCTTAACCTTACCAAACATTAGCGAATTGTACCCAAGGTACGTACCCCTGAGTTACAGGTGGATGGGCGGGAGTAACTGTGACTTTAAGGTCACATGTTACAGGTAGTAATGACACCATCCTCTATGAGGTTGGCTGAACTATGGCT